TAAGCCTCTTCATATCTGGACTTGGAAGGCGAACACAGAGATCGAAAGTACTAAGCAAAAAGTTTAGTAGAAAACCGTTCTGTACTAGGTCGAATAACATATAATAGCACTGGTCTTAAAATTTGGATCATCTAAACTATTAATCAACCCCAGACAGGTCATACGCTGAATTATTATATGCGGTTGATAATTGTTTAGCTTATCTATTCAGTTAGCTGACTTTTAGCTCCTCGTGGTGCTTATATTGATCAACTTAGCATATTTCCAGCTCAGAGGTGTGGGATAGACTTACCTCCTCGTGGTGCACTCTGGGCAACATATAATCATACGGCAAAAAGTCTATTAACTGGCAGTTGACTTCTCACTTCAAACTACCATCACCCCCACTGTAGGTCATATTCGACCCCTATCACAGTACTCACCTTACCCTTTCTGAGTCTTTGTACCTGTCTGTTTCTTTTACATCCGTGAATCACTCTTCTGTTTCCCCTCCAGAATTCTTCTCACTTTGATGTTCCTCCCCCCTCTGTGGAGCCCGAAGTCAACTAAAGGGCTAATGGTAAATATCAAAACACCTGCCATTTGTTATAAATAAATGAATATTTCCAGCTCACATGTGGAAACTACGTCTGCATATATTGACCTCTTCATTCTGCTATTTTTAATACACGGTTAGACGGAGAAATAAATGTCTACTAAGATGAAGGTATATGAGAATATGGAGGACTAGACTTGCAGGTTGCTGATAGATTTACTTGTTAACCCCCTTCGTTTCTGCTAGGTTGAAATCCTCCTCCAAATGTAAGAGTAATTCGTAAAAGAGAAAGAACGCATTTATTCCGTGTGAATTTACAAATCTGAAATTAAGCCATAGTCAGTGTTATCAATGAATCAGGCGAATCGTCACCACGGCGACAGGACAGGAAACATATGTAAAAAGGCGTGGTAACCACTTTGTAAAGGATAGATGAAACGGGGCTAGTAATCAAGATGGACAGGGGGGGGGAATTGATCTGATCATTACCGTCCTTACGGCCCTGGGTTTGGGACAGATCACGGAACCATGGTAAAGGGGAAGGGGGAGATGAGGGGTCAAAGAGAGGACGGGAGGGGGGGGGGAAGTGAATTACTAGAGTGTGTTTAGATCTTCCTTAAATCTGGCTCTGATTTGCAACGGGGTTTCTTCTGCATAGTGCGGTATAGATCGTCCAAACGTTGATGCAACTGAAAATAGGAGAACAAAAAAATAGAATAAGAAATTCCCATCTCAAATTTTCGAAGTGCCAGACTTTTTAAATGATAATGATTGGTTGGTAGTTAAATATTGCGTTTTTTGCATAGACCCATAGCTAAGTAGCCCTTAAATTGGCGGCCAAAATCGTACCCTCACTTGGATCCCAGTAAAACTGAGTTTAAGATGCTTTTTGTGTAAGCCTGGAAGGCCATAGGTGAGTAGTATAGACGTCAAAGCAAGTGTTAGCTCTACGGGTTTCAGCACGTGTTTCTCACACTTTTAACAAAGAGCCATAGTAATAAATATGGCCTAAAAATACTATTGTGAACTTCAAACTCCAGATAGTTAATCGTCACATAGAGATGATGGCCGACTGAATGTAATGATCATAATGCTTTGAAGCATTAAAGTGAGATGGTTCACCAGCTGCCGTCACACCTTCAACCGAATTTATAATCATCTTGAGCTGATTCATGAATGGAAATTGTAAGCTCTAGATGATCAAACCCATAACTGCCTACAAATTTCCATGACGTATTAAAATCTCCAGTCGAATCAGATCCTTAGCTAACTATGAAAGAATTGTTGCGCGTTTATGATCAGTTGCGCAATTTCATTTGAAGCGCAACCTTAAATTGAATAGGATGGGAATTTGGGCGCCGCACAAATCAAATCGCCAAGTATAAGGAGAGTGAGAGGAGAAGCATGTGTACTGCATTCCTTTATCAAGACAGCAAAGCGTCCTTCGTTTTTTTGTTCTGCACCAAATTGTCGCTGGGCTCGAGAAGTGAATGGTTAGCGGGGAAAAACACCGGTTATCTCCTACTCCAACATCAAATCCACCCCCCCCCCCTCCTCCTGATACAAGCCAGTGTTGGCCCTTCAGAAGCCTCTTTGATGCACACGATAGGAAGTGAGCGCGCAAGTAACCCGCTACGATTTGCTAAAACCAAGCGAAACAGTTCCAGCTGAAGTTCATTGGCATTGAAAATTGAAAGACTAAAGCGGTCAGCAAAGGACAAATTCACAAGTTTATTTATGAGAAGAAGGAAAAGTCTCCAGCTTGGCATTAACCGGGTCAAGACAAATAGTATGAATGACCGCCATATTCACCAGACCTTATCACTTTTTCCAGATAATAGGGGGGGGGGAAGGGGGGAAGGGGGAATGGATTCAAAGTGGTACTCAAGTCAAAACTTATTTGAACAAGTATTTAAATTCAGAAAAAAAGTTTTTTTTTTCAAAAAAAAGAGGCTCGAAAAATAGCAAGATCAATGAGAATGATGATCAAATAAAGAAGGAATTTTTATAATGTAGCATCAGGTACATGTAATATCGTTTGTCAAATACGCGACATCTCGTTGGTAACCCCAATACAATCACATACTAACTGTAATTAGCGTAACGAAATTCAACTAAGGCGAGCTACACGAATTCGACGATCGTCACGCGCGCAAAAACAGCGCCAAGTTAAGTTAAACAAATCGCAACAAAATGGGTAATGTGGTTGGTGTGTATCATTGAAAATAAATGGGCATAGCCCTAAAGGTAAATAAATGGTATTAGAAAAGAATGCCCTGATAACTAACATTACTGGACACCCTCCTACTTGGTCCAAACCTACGTAAGCAACTGAGTTTGAATAATGAACACACAGGCACCTAACCTTAATTCTGATTGCTTAACCTTTTAACGCCCGATCTATTCTTTTGTGCTCAAAAAATTCTCTGCTTTCTCTTCTGTTATGAGTGTCTAGTGCCAATGAGTCTAGTTTAGAAAGTTCACCCTACGGTCCTGCAAGGTGTTAAAGAGATTGATTGTATAGTTCGAAAGAAAATAGCTGAGATTTTGACAACAAAAAAGGAGATTAGGAAAGTGGACTTCACCCGACCTTAGTGTACTAATTGCATTTGGACAACTGTTTCGATTGCCAAAGATCCGTTAAATTGTGTTCACATCATCAGAAACAAAGCGATGAAATAGTGATTTTGCAACGAAATTTGGATTTTCATCGAGGGTTAGAAAACGCAAGAATGAAAACTTATCTTCCAAAGGATAGACTACAGTTTTTTCCTCAAACAAGTGGCTAATTTTTGAAGGAGGGATAAAGCAGCTCTCAATGGGAAATGAAACACCCAGAGATATGGCATTAGCAAGAAATAACTAATTATAGAGACAATTTTTAAACTAAATAAACATACCCGGGGGTGTGCGATAGACTTACCTCCACGTGGTGCACCCTGGGCAACGTATACTCATACGGCAAAAAAGTTTATTAATCGGCAGTTGACTTCTCACTTCAAACTACTATCACCTCACTCGATGCCATATTGGAATATTTTCACAGTACTCACCTCACCTTAGTTCCACCTTTGTGTTTGTCTCTTACATCTTTGAAACACTCTTCTGTTCCCCCCCCCCTGTCGACCCTTTCAATTTGATGTTTCTTCCCCTCTGTGAAGCCTGATGTCAACTAAAGGGCTAATGATAACCATCAAGACGCCTGCCATTTGATATAAATACATCTGTAAATCATTCTGTCCCCCTGTCGACCTTTTGCCACTTTGATGTTCCCCTTCCTTTCTGTGAAGCCCTTCTAATGATAACTATCATAACGCCTGACATTTGAAATAAATAAACATATCAAAAAAAGAGACTAATCATGATAGATAATTGTAATTACTAACATTCCAGTAAAATAAATACTCACTTTACACGAATTAATGATTTGCTGCCATGTTGATCAATAATAATCAATATCTCTGTAATGCCATGGCAGACAAATCACAACAATTTGTGAAATGCGAGGTCATGCATTTACAAAGAAACACTAACTCAAACTCTTGGGGCCACAAACCATCGCACTTATCACACAATCGTCTACAAACTAGATTCCAGTATGTCAAGCCATGAAAGTCCTTGTGGCAAAGAGATATCGATATCGACCGGTCTCTCCCTCCTCTAAACTAAATGATCATATTCCATCGCAGTCTTTTGTCAAGAATTCGAATGTAAAAGCAGCCTGATTCCATACAAATAAAAAAATGGCAGTAAAATAGGACATCCCATAGATCCAAATTGGTTGAAAAGGACTAAGGTGAATGCTAACACTCTCATAGGCCTGAAATGTACTTGCTAAACGAAGTAAACACACCATCCGATCAGCTTTATCGTTAGCGTGCAAAAGAAATTACTTCGAAATCGAAAAAAGTGTCCAAAACTAAGATGAGACATTTAATCCTCTCTTTTTATTTGCTTCAACGTCAAATAAAAAATACTTTGCCAACAACAATAACTTAAGACTAGCTGACTAACCGCACTTCCAACAATTCCTATAGTTCAACTAATCACGTTAATCGACAAAAATTACCAATGGCCAATTGATTGCCTTGATCCTAGAGTTGATCGTCCATGGACACAATTGATAGAAAATCTGAAACAAGTGTGGCAGATCATCTCTCTACTCAGACTAATCTTCTAATACTCGAACCACTTTTGTCTCTTTGGTTGTTAAACATCGATAGTCTGAATGGACCCTACAGAGTTTCATCTAATAAGTGTCATCGATGCCTTCTGTTTATACTACCGCTACAATTGGAGGCTCACTTTCAGCTTTATCTTCCATTTTATAGCAGATTTTCATAGCGCCAGAGCAAACATCCGAAATGACATGTTCGCACTACCCTCTTGGTTATGATTGCTGGTAGGACTCATGAACCTTTGCTTCGAAAAGAATCCGAGCCTCATGTGCAAATAACTTCTTACCTGTATAAAATTTGGTCTATCGTCACGGGAGAATGAGCAGGACTCTGTAACTATTTGTCGTAGTTCCTTCGGGACATCAGATCGAATAAAAGACATATCTGGACTAAGAAAACCTTTCCCCACGAGGAATATAATCTGCTCTCGACAGTTGTGTCCACGGAAGGGTAGTTGGCCGGTGATCAACTCGTACACCACGATGCCGAATGCGTAAACATCGGATAAGTTAGTGTATGGCGTTTCACCTTCCATACGCATTACTTCTGGGGCCTGAAGAGAGAGGTGTTAGAAGAATTGCATTAGAAATACAAGTATGAGTAAGCTCCTTTATGTTAAGTGAATTCAACTAGCTTCAATTAGCTACATTTTGACTATTGAAAGAGAACAATGTACCCATATAACGTGAACAATTTACTATGCTAGCCAATCCGCTTTAAGTAATGCGTACGTTTAAAGTCACTCCAGAAAACTAGGCCTCTACATATAAAGATGTCCCTATATGGTGTCATAAAGCTGAAAGGACTCACCATCCAGAAGACAGAACCAGTGGGTTGGCGTGATCCGCCCTTCCATGTCTTCATAGTGGATAGACCAAAGTCCCCAATCTTGACAGTTCGCTCCTGCAGAAAGATATTGCTAGACTTGAGGTCTCGATGAAGTATCTTCTTCGCGTGCAAGTAGCTGAAATTTACAAAATAGAAGTGAATAAGATAATGAAATCTCATTAAATAAAGGATGAATTAACCCATCTCTAAGCAATGACTGTGCAGGAATCCAGTGTGGAATGCTAAGATACTGGACAAATAGCCCTTTATCAGCCAACCTAAGTTATTTAGCTGGAGCTTAGGTGAATATGCTTGACAGATAAATTGTAACAAATATAATAAAGGTCAAAATATACATTTTTCCCGAACCCTGAAATCAATATCGGATCTCTAGCGATTATCCACCATCTTCTACCGTAAGTCCAATGTTGGTAGCAGATTGGAATTGAATATAAAATATATACGGTTTATATTTTCGCTTCCTTTTGCTTTCTGATTTATGATGTGGTTTAGAGATAAGAACCGTCAGCAAAATTGCATCAACGGTCAAAATTAGAAGAGGGATTACACATTCATCTTCGAGGGGTGTGCGATAGACTTACCTCCACGTGGTGCATCCTGGGCAACGTATACTAACCAACCAGTCTATTAACTGGCAGTTGACTTCTGACTTCAAACTACCATCACCCCACTGTATGTCGTGTTCGACTACTTTCACAGTACTAACCTCACCTTTTTTCTACCTTCGTCTTTGAAACTCTTCTGTTCCCCCTCCACTCGACTTTTCTCCACTTTGATGTTCCTCCTCCCCTCTGTGAAGCCCGAAGTCAACTAATGGGCTAATGATAGCCATCAAAACGCCTGCCATTTGATATAAATACACTCATCTTTGATTGTTTAAGTAGAAGGAACTCTTTGCATACTACAGGATACCAATTTTATTTATTTTAACAGGCGACAAATTAACTAAAATATATCAGCACTAGAATAAGACACTCCTACCTGGACTATTCTAACCTTTGAAATCACCACCTACGTATTTCATATACACGAAATAATTTATTTTCTCCTCTCACACAATGCTGAAGGCCACTTAGGGGTGGTTTAGTGGCTCAAACTTCCCAAATACTCAGCCATTCAACCAATGGTAAATGGTGGAACATCAAACAGCCGCTAATTTGCAGGCATGCATTTCTCCTACTACCAATGCCAATATTGCATCAAATTTATTACTTACGATTTGTAAACATTTTCCTACAGTGTGCCAGCCCCCCCCCCCCCCCCCCCCCCCCCAACCTTACGATGCAGTTTATCACTCGAAACTCAATATTTTACTCACGCCTAGGGGCAAACAAACCCGAACTTTATCGGATTACATAAAATATTGAAAACTGCTGTTTACATGCTGAGTCACAGCATATTCGCGGATAGGGCGTTTACTGTGTCATCTGATCCAATTTGTTTATCTTCATTCCAAACTTTAAAAAAATAGAATTCCCTTTGTTGGCCTGTCCATCACACCAACTGCATGCCTATACCTCACACCTTTGAGCCTTCTTTGTGTGCTAAAAAAATTCCCACAACCAGTGATCCCTCACCTACACTATCTTGTTGAGTGACGAGGGCAGAAAGAAGTGCAAGATAAGCATAGGCCATTATAAACAATAGGATTTAGGGTGTCTAACATAATTCCTTGGCCTGTCCCACAACCCCTAAGTGGAAATTTTGCATGCAAAATGCACGATGTATTTGCAATGCGGTGTGTGCAAAAAGGGTCACAGTTAGGAGGGGGGGGGGGGGGGGATTAAGGGACTGACCATCTCTATTTCTGACAATTCAAGAGTAGGCATTTAATGCCAGTCAAGGTATTCATAACGAGCTCTCCACTCGTCCCCTCCCACTCCACTCCACCCCACCCCACCCCTCCCCCATTGATCGAATCAACAAGTCATAGGGAAAGAAAATATCAAATCTGAGATCTTTCAGGGGCGTTTAATCATAGATCAAGATCAAAAAATTATGGTCAAGTTCACCTTAGATTCCATAAAATGATATAGAAGTTATGGTAATCAACTAAAGTCGGTAGAATAAAATGAAATCGATGCTTAATTGTTTTGGAAAAAATACAAAATGGAACTAAACTTTCAAATTTAAGATGCTCCAAAAAATTCAAGTTAGGTGTTGTAAAATTTTGACATAAATCTCGTAGAATTAAGTTCAAGACGATTCGGGCTTTAAGTATCCTCGGGCATTTAAATGAGGATACAAGATTCGGAGACTAATAATTCGAGTGCGTTGACCAGGGTGCACCACGTGGAGGTAAGTCTATCACACACCCCAGTATACGTTGACCAGGGTGATACGTTGTCAACGTATACTCATACGGCAAAAAAGTCTATTATTCGGCAGTTGACTTCCAACTTCAAAACACCATCACCTCACTGTATGTCATATTCGACTACTTCCACAGTACCCACCTCATCTTTTTCACTCTACTTTTGTGTCTCTCTCTTTTACATCTTTGAAATGCTCTTCTGTTCCCCTCCCCCTCCCCCTCTCGACTATTTTTCACTTTGATGTTCCTTCTTCTCTGTGAAGCCTGAATATGATAACCATCAAACCGCCTGCCATGTCAACTAAAGGGCTTATGATAACTATCAAAATGCCTGCCATTTGATATAAATAAATTATTCGAGTGCGGATATGCCGATGAATTGCTGCAGAAGGATAAGCTCTGATGGCGCCAATGCAAAGGCTCAAAAGTGAAATCCAAAGATCCCACGCGATTTAAGAAACTAAGAGGCAAACGCTGGGGCGGCGTGAGTTGAATGGGCCATGAAATCGAAATGTCACGTGAGCACTTAGGCTACTAAATTCGCAAAAAGATTGGTTAAAAACCAAATTATTTAATTAGGGAGGGGGGGGGGGTAAAAGAGAGACGCATATCAATCATCCAGTACTAATAAAGTGCTAGTTGAACTGATTTTCCATTTAATAAATAATCAACTCATTTCTTATTACTTTCTCTATTTACACACCAAGTCATTTTGTTAAGAGCACTTTTTCAGGCGATATTAACAACCGCCTTTTGACGTCAATTCGCTATCACATCTTCGCTTAATTCCTTGCTCATTTTATAGGCTTGCCAGTTCAAATTCTCAAAATGTTGAGTAAGTAAATACACCGTCAATTTAGCTTACCCGCAATGAATCAGTTGCCTTCCCCACCCCCCCCC